AAAAAAAAAAAAAATAAAAAAAAATTAAAAAAAATTAAAAACTTAAAGGTAAAAATTAAATTGGTAATGTTTTCGTGTAAACATATAATATTTGTGGAAATAGTAATTTACTTGAATGGGTTTTTTGAAATATAATCTTATTGTATCTTTATATAAATAATGTAATCTTATTGTGTCTTTATGATATATTTGTGTCTTTATGATATATTTGTGTCTTATATATATTAAAAGTATTAATATTATTATATATTAAAAGTATTAATTTTATCAAAATATGTAATTAATGTAATTAGCGATTTATATTTTTTCAAAAGAGACAAAAACAACATTTTGAGTTCTGTTGTTCCTGTACACTTTTACTTTTCTTTTCTCGAAATATAATAAACATTTTATTCAAAAAAATTTCGACAATCGCAGGCAACACGAACAGACATTTTGTCGTGTATGATTTTCTTTCTTTAATTTTTTGTCTTCAGTAAAAATAATTCTTATTTTATTAAATATGTATATATTTCATATGTATTTTTATATTTTGATATAGAATTTGCGGTTTTTTTGAGAAAAAGATAATAAGAGTGAGAAAATCGCACTATTCGTTCTCGGAGCAATTTAGCAAAGAACAAACACTATTACTTTTGTCTTCGTAGTTGTGAATGGTGAAATAGCAGCATGACATCGTAGCACTTACTTTTTAGCACCACATGACTGCTTTGATTATTTCTCTTCTTTTGTACATGTATTACATAATAGCATACTCCCCAGTAGAAAGTTTGGACATGGCATTTTGTTCTCTAGTACTTCAATTCTATCTTATACACATGTATATATAAATATAAATATATATATTATATATATGTATATATATATATGTATATATAAAAATTACATTGTAAATGTGAAATAGAATTAGAAATAAGAAAAACATTTATACATTAATAATTACTTCAATTTTCGCGTGGATATGAAGTAAAAACACTCAACTGAGACGCAGCTTTAGACGCGAGAGCAAGAAACAAAAATTATGTTGTGACCGCGTACGAAAAAGAAGAAAAGGATTACTGCCCAGTGATTGATACGGACATTGTGTGATCTCTCTTTTGTTATATTCGTAAAGAACATTCTGTAAACGAAGATAATCACTAATTGTCAGTTTTACGGCGTTTAAGTTAACAAAGTTTTTATTGGTAGCGTTTGTTCATTAGCATGTAATTACGCAAAAGATTTATTATTATATATTCGCGAAAAATAGAAGTATGTAGTTCGGTTTTTTTGTATAATATATATATATATATGTGTATATATTACTTATATTTTTAAATTAATTTTTATTATTTAATGCGAATAGCGTATAAAATAAAAGATAACTTGTATTTACTCGTGTGGCGAGACATGTTGTTACACAGGACCAAGTTTTTCAAGAGCAAGCACACAAATCAAGATTCGTCAGTGAACTTTCTATTTTTTCTTTTTTTTACAACATGTAATAATTGTGAATCTTTCACGAGAACAAATATTAACTCAGGAATATATGTTTATAATCGATATATGTGTACGCTGATACGCGACGAAACTAGGATTTCTTAACGAGTGCATATGTGATGTATACGTGTGTGTATACTCATATATACACACGTGCGTGTATAAAATACTTAAAAAAAATGAATATATATATATATATATATGTGGAAATATTATAGATATGTTAAAGAAAAGACGAAGTCACAAATGGCCTCATTGTTAATTGTTGTAACCGTTGTTGTTGTTGTTGCCGCTTTTCATACCATTTAAACGAAGTAGTATCGCGTTTTTCCTCCCCTTGAGTAGTTCACGATACCTGTATTTTTCGCGCATAATTGTCAGACCTTTACGAGATATCTATAGGTGTATGTACATATATCTATTTTTTTCAATGTTTCCCGATTGTGTACACATATAAACAATTTATAAACGAATATGTTAAATTTATCCTCGACATATAGTTTATATCATGATGCACATACCTGATGATGAAACGCTGTAACAATAAGGCTTTGTTTGTGATATATTAAATTTGTATTCTCGCCAGCGTTTTTCAATCGATTTTAACTCGCGGGATGCTAAACTTATCAAACTACATCTGTTTCTCTTTCTCTTTCTATTTTCTCAATTTTTCTCGCTTTCTTTTTTTTTTATTTTTTCTCAAACTTTTGCGGCACATTTCGGTTGAAAAACGCTGTCCCCTTCACAAAACTTACCGAAAATTTGTGAAAAATTCTGTATAGGTTTTATATGATTTAATATAAGAATACACCGCGCGTTTGTTTTGCAATTGCGCAAATAAAACAGAAATGATGGAAGTAGTGGAAAGACAAAATAATTGCTAAGGTAAATATATACATATATATAAAAGTTACACGCTGTGATCGTGAGAATTTACGTAGATATGTATATATACTTGTGTACATAATCTGTCATTATTTTCTTTCATTAACGTGATCTTCAAAGCCAAATTCCGAGATGTGATTTCCGTGAATGAAAATTTTAAGATGACGTTGAGATTTTTGTATCGAATTAAATAAAAAAAAAACAAATTGAAACAATAGTGTTATTTCTAACTGCAATCGTGTGACTCTTGGTGTAATAAAAATTTTTATTTCGGTCTCTCTGTATCTTGTTCAATCATTTTTATTTTTAAACAACTAGAAAATATCAGACGTGACACAAAAAATTCATTTTAAGAAGAAACAAGAAGAATCTCGAAATTACATGGAGATGAAGAGAGAAGATGAGCGAGTATGCGAGAGAGAGAAAGAGAGAAGAGATTAATACACATAGTATATATGAGCTCTTGCGTTTGAGCAGCGAATACACACATATACGGGAATATGAACACATATATATGTACATTGTATATGTGCATATGTATGTATGTATATAAATGTGAATGACTTAAAAGACATGAAATATTTGAAGGGTCCAAGTAATTTTTGCCAATAAAAGAAAAAACAATAATATACGCATGTAACGCAGATATTGCGTGACAACTTCTGTACACGATGTATGATATTTCACCACTTGTCGCGTACGCTACCTGTTTTTCGAAACAAAAAAAGTGTCGATTGTAATTTGCATCGGTGCGAGGCGATTATATAGTCGATATGAAAATGTTGCAGGAAGAGAAACTTTGATGTGAACCCTCTTGAACCTCTTTGAGTTTAAATATGTAATTCTTTGATCTTTTTTTATTTTGTTCACACACAGGCCCACGAAAGACGAAGATAAAAAGTTGGATTTGCTATTCCAGACACACAACCGTATGAGAAATTTACACACGACGGGCATTGTACGCTTCACGTGGTCGATATAAAAAAAAAAAAAAAAGAAAAAAAGAAATACAAGAAAGCAACGCAAATAAATGTTCTATGCAAAAACGAAAAAAAACCTTAGTGATTATTTTGTCTTTTTCTTAATACCACACACGTTTCACGCATCGCATATATATGTGTATGTACATATGTATGTGTGTAAATATATATATATATGTATATAATATATATATATATGTACTAACGTCACTTTATGTGTACGAGTATTGTTCGCAGAACATATATACATAGTAGAAAGGGAACACGTGTGCTTTGTGCTTTCGCAATATCACGAGACGTCTCGTACTTTTACTATTCTGTTTCACACTGCTACGTGAAGTCTCGTGCACAAGCGTATTCTTGTACACGGTTGACTCACATATACACACACACACACACACACGCACGCACAAATACTTGATTTTTGTCGCACTTGAAATTTTGTAAAGTTATGGTCACATGTACAATACACAAATGATGACGCACATATCGCTTCTAATATATATGTATGTGTAAACTAAGATAATATCGTGGAAATTACGCGCGGAGCAAATGAAATTTAAGAACTTAATTACTGTTGTTTGTGCCACACTTAGTCTTAGTGCTTGGTGAAGGGTACATCGCGCTCGTTATTGCTATTTTTGTTACGAATGCGTGCGTGTGTGTGTATATGTATGTCTGTATGCAATTGTCACAGCTAGATTATCAGTATTATCGCTGTTCTTGTGTGTGTTATTAATGTTTGTACACATACACATGTATGTTATATATATGCATGCGTGCGTATCAGCATGAAAACGAGCAACAGTATTGCACTCTCGCGTCACAATATGCATCTGTAATCGCTTTTTTATCAGGGCAACTATCATGTGACTTTTCGGAATAACATATTAAATATTATAATTATTATATTTGTATCATTGTATTAATAATTTTTTGGAACATCAAGTTTTTTCGTCGTTTTTTCTTTTTGAAACAGAGAAAAAAGAAAAACAATTGAAAGTCAAAATAATTCCGAGTCGAATTAATTCCAAGAAGTTACGCAATAGCTCTCCTGTAAAATTCGCTCAAGGAAACGCTTATCTTTGTGCGATGCTTTGTTCGACACCGCTTTGTAGCCTAGATGGAAAACTAAGAAAAGCGAAGGAAGATCGACGCGTAAATTCCAACACGATATGCGTTGATTGACACCTCTTTTACAGATTAAACTTCATGTTTAAGCACACATTATCATCAGTGTCCTCCACTATACGATACTTCCAGAATATTCTCGTTCGCACACGTTACGAATTTACTTGATTATTGATTAAGCATTAATTATTAAATAATGATAATACAAATGTTGAATATGCGTAGAAGAAAATTCTTATATGTGACAATAATAAGAATACATAAAAATAGAAGTAGATACAATTACGGGTAAAATAATTTGTAAGTGTAAAAAAAACGAGAAGTAATATTGTTAGTAGCAAAACACTTGGATAGCTTGTGGTCAATCAAATCTCAGAACATCTTCATATTCCAGAATAAAAAAAATTCTATTAAAGATATATCGGAGACGTATCTACTTTTATGTGACACAAAACCAATAGAGTTATAGCATTGTGTGAGCGAATTATATCAGCGAAAGTATTTTTTTTTTTTCTCATTGGAGTAAACGTCACATAAAGAGATATTTGTCGTTTTCAGGAGAGACATTCATCCAGTCACCACAAAAGCTACAACAAGCTGTCACAATCTCAACAGTCTCACACGTCGTAGTATGCTATCGGACAAAAGCATAAGGAAGTGTCCCGCACGTTACGTCCTGAGGAAGGAAGCGCCTATTATCTATGAGCGCGCGAGGAGAAACGTGGAAAATAATAATAAGAATAGGGACACACGCGCTTTTGCCAATTTCCCATTATATTACACGTCGAATTAATTTCTCTCAACAAGAATCATCTTTTCGCTCTCTCGTCCTCTCCCCTCCCCCATTTCGTGTTCCATTTTCTCTCTTTTCTTGACACCTTTTTCACGGTGAGAGAAAAATGTCCCGCAGTTGTACGCGTCCGTTATGTAGAGAGTTCGTATTAGTCTTGACGCTTTCACTGAAACTGACTTTTTTCGAAAGAAAAAAAAATACGAACGAGAGAGAAGAAAACATGATCTTACTCAGGTTCAAACTACTGTAGATAGATGCAACTTGCATTTTCGATAGCGCGCGACTGGTGACTTTTCCACTATTCGCTTGCCTTTTTTCTGTTCGCATAATGTGTGCGATTATATAAGTACTGATAATAATCCTTACACTGACTCGTCGAGAATTGCGAACGTTCCGCAATTTATATTCTAAGTGAGAAAGTCAACGATATGAAGTAAAACTATATATATATATATCGGCGCACTTACTGCGATTGTTAAAATAATGACACGTTAATAATAAAATACTCCGCTATTCCCTGTACGAATTTTCTCGCTTGACACTTTTACATCCGTGTCGAATGAAAATAAATTTAAAAAATCTTAGAAGAATTTACGCTGTATTTAACGAAGATTAAACGAGTATTTGAATTAAATCGTACAGGTAGCGAAGTGTTAAGACGATGTAGAGATACGATTGACACGTGTCTTCGATAATATAAAAAAAAAAAAAAAAAAAAAAAAAAAAACCCAAAAAAAAACTGTTTCGATGAAACAGCTTCGTAAGCTTTCACAAAGCTTTGTAACGTAATGTTTAATCGATGAGAAATCGGAGACACACCGATTCCTTCTTGGGTTTCTTTGCCCACTCAGTTAGTTTATTTTCATTGCCTTAAAATATGATATGCGTTCATCATATTTGTCATACACATGTTTGACACACATTTTTTCTCGCGAAGAGCGTATGTGAACGTCCGTGTTCGTCGCCGAATATATTCTTGACTACCACCTTCGTTTGGTTGGTTTCGATAAGCAAAAATTTAGATAATGTAACTGGGTTTAGATTTTTATTATATCTTTAGTATAGGCAAATCTTAAGATAGAGCAACAAAATCTCCGATATGATTGATATATGCAATACGATTAGACAATTTTGGTTTGCGTGTCATATTGGAAAACTATTTCGTTACAAAAACAAAAATTATAAAAAAATGTTCTTTTAGATTTTTCTTAAGTAAAAAAAAAAAAAAAATTAGATTAGTTACGTTAGAATTACGCGAGTTGTCTTGAGACTACAAACACACATAATGTGCATTTAAACAATGCTTCGTTTCCGGCTGTGGTTTAATTGATAATTTCTGTTCTCGTTCTCGTTTCTCTTTTCGCATAGTCAAACGTCAGCGAGAGACGCTGATTTGTCCAGAACAAAGAATGTGTCAGTCACACATCATTAATTCTCAGGATAGTTTTTCTTCTCAAATCGTCTGATCTAACCGCGGAGTCAATCTCACCGATACTCGTTTTCTTTTGTTGCGTTACCGTTATCGTTTCGCGAGACAAATCCGAATGTTTCTACAACGAAATGACCGATTCAAGATGAAACAACCACACATATATTACATATTTTACACACATATATATATATACACACACATACACACACGCAGTAAAGTACTTGTTCTATGATTATCCAATAATATTTATATTACGTCTTATTATTATTGTGTAAATAGTTCTCTAACACATTCATATACCTAAAAACTGCAGTAAGTAAATGAATAAATATATATATTATACTATTAATATCTAGTATATAAAGAACTATAAAGTAATAATTATTGCGACAGACTGTAAATAAAATTATTTTGTATGTGAAAAGAAACCAAATGAGAGCAAACTCTACTTCGACGCACTCTGTTATGTGTAGTTTGATGCGTACAGATGAGACACACACATACACACATTGCATACAGAAGACAAAGACATACAGAGACAGAAAAACCACACACACACACACATACACACGCGTGCGCCCTCAAAGATGTATAGTTATATATATACGCGCAACCGCCCTGCGAAATCAACGTATACGTACGTAAGCGACGTTTGTTGATTAATATATATATATAATATATATATAATATATACATAATTTATATACATTATATATATATATATATAATATATATATATGCGCCGATATTATACTTTGTTCAGCGGTACACAAACTACAAAGTGTATTCGCCCGATCGACGATCGTCCAATTATATTTTTGTAAGTAACGATCTACTTAAGTTGAACTTAAAAAAAAAAAAGAAATCAAGGATTCTGTGAATATATTAGATAGAGTGCTGCGTATCCGAGCAAAATGAGAGAAAGGGGGATAATATATCACACACATTGGACATCGCGTATTTCGTACAACAGCATTTGATTCATCGAAATTTCTGTCGAAAATTGAAAAGAAGCTTGAAAGCCTCTCAGGCTCGTACCCTCGTAACGCGAATGCGAGTCATTTCAATCCCATAGAAGAAAGATTTTTCATTATATATATAGTTTTGAGAATATCTCTGTACAGAAACGAACACTTGCGTACCAAATACAACGTTGTAAAAAAAATTACACATTGCATGTCCATTTGATAGCGACTGGATCAAAGTAAATGCTCGTGGCATCCGCATTACGAGGGTTAAATAGCTGTAAACTCGCGTCACTGTCGCAAACATGAGAGCATCTTGTTTCTTTTCTTCCCGGATAATCTGAAAGATGTCTCAAAAAAAAATATTACAATATCTACATCTGAAAACAGTGAGACGTCTTTTAAACCATTTTGAGATAATGTGGTCTGGGTTTTGATACCGTTTTGTTTTTATATTAGTTGTACTTACGTGCGAGATGGGTAACGGGTGACAAGCGACGGAAGGTAACGTCTCCAGTGATCCTAACAATAAGAAATAATGTTACAAGCGTGCACGGGAGAAATATTCCATTGCTTGGCGCCCGCCAATCATTTTCCGTCACTCGGAAGCGCAACTGCAGCCTTACGAAAAAAAACGCGGATCGTTCCACCAACGATCATCATGTACAATCCGACTGTGTGACGCGGAGTTTACGCGATCACGTTTCTCGTGGCGTATTGTGTTCGTTAGATGAAAAAAAAAAAACAAAAAAACAAAAAAAAAGACTTTTTTTCCGACTGAGAACGAGACGATCGAGATGTGAATCCGGCCCGAAATATATAAATTGGAATGCTGTATTTCATAGGAAGATATAAGATATGTACGTTTAGGAATACTGTTACTTTGTATCATATCGCAGAAGATAAGTCTGGTTTATTAACGCCGACAAGTGTGTTCCGACGCAAATTATTATTCGGTCCAGAAAAAAAGCGGGAAAGGGGGAGGGAGGGGGAAGAACACCGGCAATCGTTTTTTCCATTGCGTCATTGTGTTTTTTCGTCTATTCGTTTTTGCTGATATCGAGTTATCGCGATTATTATGTGCACAATACGAGCTGTTTGATAAAGCAATGATATAAATCACACAACACAATTATTTCGTGTATTTTTTATATGCTTATACTTTGTCCTACGTGTGTACAGGATTTTTTAATATTAAGAAAACTCTCTGATCGTTATTATTTTAATAGAAAAAAAAAGAGTAGGTCCTATGGGACGTTACTGGGAGTCCTGTAGGATTTATTACTTCAAAATAATAAAAAAAAAAAAAAATACAAAAAATATATATCTTGTGAAAAAAAATATCTTGTGTTGCTACATTTACTTATTTTCATAAATCTTATGTTTATTTAAACTTGTGTGTTTGTTCGTGACTTGAAACTCTCTGACAAACGGATAAAACACTATTGCGTATGCTCGTTGATGAAAATATTCTTTAACACTCATCGGTTGCTGTTGTTACAACTTATTATTTGTATACTTAGGCGTTCTTGGTGACAGACTTGAGCATTGCTTTATCCACAAAAGTTCGTATTAAGAAAAAAAAACCAAAAACCGTAATATTCGAACGATCGTCGAGGACCGATGCGTGTCTGGTCGACAGATTAGACTTTTAATCGCGGATGCGTGATGTGCTAATGGAAAAAGAAGAACAAAAAAAAAAAAAATGAACGAGTTAACTCGCGTGCGTATTAGCGCTCGAAAAATTTAAAGAAACGTTCGAATCAATCGAATTGCTCGAATCCCAAGCTCGTTCGATTGTTCGGGTTGATCTCTCGCGAAGGGAGAGATACCGCACAATTCGAACAGTTCGGACAGTTCGAATCTTTTCGACAGCTATTTTCGTAGGAAAGAAAAAGAAAAAACTGTGTACATGTATAAAGTTAGGCGGAGAAAGAAATAAACGGAAATTGATTTTGCTAGTTTTTTTTTTTTTTTTTTTTTTTTTTTTTTTTTTTTTCTGTTTAGAGTTTTGCCTATCTTCATTCATTTCACGAGTTGACCAAATAGTTCGAATTGTTCGAACTATCCGAACGCGCTGGTTGTACTTTCAACTCTTTTTTTTCGAACTGTTTCTCGGAAAACTAATTTTTCGAGAGCGCACAACAATTCGTTCGAATCTCGAAATCGTTCGTTCGAGCACCAATACGTATTACGTATATCCGCGCGCTCGTATCATAAGAGAAACGAGTATAACTGTGAAAGTCGACAAGGAAAAGTCTTGTGTACTGTAAATAATAACTTTGTAGCCTGTAAGGATTTCTTTAGAAAGAAATAACAACCGCGAACATAGATGCACGATAAGAAAAAGAAGTTACATATATAACTGATTATTATTATTAATTATTATTATTACCGATTGCGAAAAAAAAACGAGCATTCGTGTCCTTTCCGCGATTCGCGAGCGTCCTGTCGGTCGCGCCCACAAGAGTTTTCTCTCTTTTTTTTTTTCCCCCTTTTCGTGTGACACGCTACTCTCGGAATATCATCTGAAAATGCGAATGTGTGTGGTGTTTTGTTTTGTTTTGTATTTTTTTTAATTAGAATAATGTGCGTTTTATTTTTGAAGATTTTACTTTACCTGATGTATATCCTCGTATAATAATTGGACTCGCCGCTTTGCTTTGTATGGATGTTACTTTTATTTTTTGGTTTCACACAAAAGCCCTGAAGCTGGATCGGTTCGGCTTGGAGGCTGGCGCGCGACCGACAGAACCCAGCTGAATTGAACCGAATTTGCCTGACTTAAGGCGGCGTTCAAAAAGTTATCTTCAATAAAGAGAGAAATAAAAACGAACATTACAAAAGTGGTTGAACTTCATTCCTTGGTTGTCTCCCCCGCTAGAGATATTTGATTGCGATGTGTTTCATTAAGATGAAACTTAATAAATGAATTTTATATATATATATATATATATATATATATGTATGTATATATATACATATATTTACTTATATACATATTTTTTTTAAATTGAAAATATTAAAAATTTTCAAGTTTTATACTTTATATAAAGAAACACTGAACATATTTATATATATTTATTTATTATTTATTTATATATATATTTGTCGTCTTTCGTACGCTTAATAACTCAATATATATATATATATATTTGCGTACCATAGACGCACAACACTACACAAGCATGTGCACTGTTTCTTTACGTGAAACTTGAAAATTTTTAACATTTCCGGTATTAGAGAAAAAAAGAAATAACTAGAAATTGTACACAAAGCTTACAAGTGAATATCACATATTGAAAACAGCGTGTAACGTTCCGCTTTAATTGTGACACACTTTTCTATTAAACATATGTTGCACGTAAACGAGGATTATAATTAACAATGTATACTTATACACGGTTTTCTTCGAATCTTTCCGTTGAGTTTTCCGATCTCTCGCGTCTCGATCGCATTCCGTGACAGTCAGTGCCGTCGGTGGCGGATTTAAATCTGTCGGTTGTACCTGCGATCTCTCTCGTCCAAGGTTGTTGCGAAGTGCGGTCGCTCGTCCATTGGTCATGTGCCGGACATTGCGTTTGCGACGTATAAACTCGATCGCGATGGAGTTCCCGTCGTCTTATACGTAAGCGACGTACGGAAGTACGTAATAGCAGAACAATGTGGGCGACAATGAGCTCGATTAAACATAAGGATTAACCTGAAGCCGGTAATTCGAGGAGAACTGATCGCGCAATGTACATAACAGATGTTTCAATAGGATAACAATATCCGTAAACCGATAAATCTTATCGCGTCAAGTGTGTACACATGTTGCTTCTTCGTATTACCCGTACAAGGTTGATATGAGAGTTTACATTTTGATATGTGAGCTTATTGCTTCGCACCTTATAAGTTACTGTATGTCAATTGTCGCAATCAGTGATTGCAATTGCACAATTATAAGAGTTCTGAAGTCAATGTTTTCTTATAGAAGAGTGATGTCTTAAACTGTTCCTTTTTGTTTTTTTTTTTTTTGTACAAAGTTATATGTTTCATTTCATAATACACAATGTCACGTCTGTTGCTGTCTTGTGATGTCACTTTGCTGACGAGAAGTGTGTTTAAACACGAATACAAACAGATACATCACTCGTAAGTACGCTATTCTACTGAGATAAAACGGTGTGATGTATGATGTTGATATATATTCTGAATTCATTGCGTTAGCTGCAAAGTCTTGGTGCTCGGAGGTGGTACCGGTGGTTGTTCCATGGCTGCTAAGCTAACCAGAGAGCTCTACAACCCAAAGGAAGTTATTGTAACAGACCCAAACGATGTGAGTTAAAATTACATACATAATATTGTTTTAACACAATATGCAATACACATATAATTCACATAACTTGATTTTAATAATATCACTTTTGAAGATTACTTGGCAGTACAACACTGTTATTTTCAGTCGCATTATTATCAACCTTTGTTCACCTTGATTGGTGGTGGCATTAGTTCTTTTAAATCATCAAGAAGGAATATGAAAGATATTTTGCCGAAAGACGTAAAATGGCTGAAAGCTTCTGTTGTTGGATTCGAACCTGATGCTAACAAAGTGTCAATAGACAATGGAGATACCATACAATATGATATCATGATTGTTGCATTAGGCTTGCAATTGCATTGGGATAAAGTAAGATATTAAATAGAAACAGATACTATTCAGTGCTTCTTTACTGAGTTAACACGATTTTTTATATCAAGATCTCTTTGACAGATTCCAGGTTTAAAGGAGGGTTTGCGCGATCCTGATGCACAAGTGTGCTCTATCTACGGACCAGAGACGGTTTCCGAAGTTTATTCAAAAATTAAAAATACAAAGACAGGAACAGCGGTATTTACATTTCCAAATTCACCTGTTAAATGCCCAGGTGCACCTCAGAAGATTGCCTACATTACGGAGGACTATCTTCGCAAAGTACGTCTTTGCAACTATCATAATTCATTAGTAACAAATGTTCACTTGTATGATCAGACTTATTTCATTTAAAAGCACAATCTACGGAATGATGTCAACGTCATGTACAACACAGCCTTACCTGTTATATTTGGAGTTAAAAAGTATGCTGATTCTCTTTGGAGTGTTTGTAAACAGAGGAATATTAATGTCAATCTCCAGACTAATCTGGTGAAAATAGATCCGGAAAAAAAGCAAGCCACGTTTGAAAAACTGAATTCACCGGGAGAAACATGGACACAAGAGGTGTGTTGTTTTTTTTTTTTTAATTGAAAAAACTTTGCGGTTATATTGTTACCAAATCAATTTTTTAACTTTCTTATTGTTATACTAGTATTCTCTTCTTCATGTGACACCTCCAATGGGGCCTCCTGCAGTTTTAAAGGAACATTCCGCATTGACCAATGAAGCTGGGTTTCTCAGCGTTGATCCGAAAACTCTTAGACATACGAAATACTCAAATATATTCGGCATAGGCGATTGTACAAACACTCCGAATTCTAAAACTATGGCCGCAATAGGTAAAACAAGTTTTCTGTACATTTTTAGGACAATATGAGATAAAAACGCTTTGTATCAGTGGCTATACAACATTTGCTATGCAGCTGCTCAAGGAAAAGTGTTGTATCGAAATATTGCGGACGATCTGGCTGGTAAACCAATGACAATGGCTTATGATGGTTACGCGTCGTGTCCATTGGTTACTGGTTACGGTAAATGTATTCTGGCAGAGTTCGACTACAACTTGCAACCTTTGGAAACTTTTCCAGTAAATCAAGGAAAAGAATATTATTTCACTTATTTACTAAAAACGTATTTCTTCCCGTTTATATACTGGAATTTGATGTTGAAGTGAGTTACTGAGAATATAATTGATTTTGTTAAAAAGTACATGTGAAAATTAATTATCATTAATTTTGTATTTTCATATATTTTTTACAGGGGTTACTGGAACGGACCTGAATTTTTCCGCAAGTGCACAAAGATGCTTAAAAAGGATTAGTATTTGAAAGAAAGAGTTGACCAAGTGTCTTTTGCAAAATTAAAACTCTATAACGTACATATACACATTTCGTAAATACTCTTATTATATAAGTTGGTCTTTATACAAAGTTTATTGCACAATATAGTTTAATTGTTGTATTTATTTATTATTATATTAATAAAGATTAATAAATTATTTTATTAATAAAGTTTCAAGAATCTCATGTGTGATAAATTGTAATTTTTTCTATTTTGCAATTGCGAGAGAAGAAACTTAATAGAAACCGGTTGAGTAGATAATTTTATTTAGTCGATAATTTTTTCGTGCATTATGAGTGCCGCGATTTACGTGTTCGTGACCATGTTCAATGAATAAAACGCTACCCAAAATTTGTTTTTGATTATGTTCTGTACTGTGTCTGATGGTGTATTTATTTAATAAAAGCTCGATATATTATGTATTTCCGTTTATCCGTTTCTATCGATTTTCTCTTGCTTTCGTCATCGTGGATGTTTGAGTGTCGCGCGTAGATTCGATACTTGTAAGAATCGCGCGCTTTGATACGCTCGTTTCGGCGGACAGGCGCGCGACGCGGAGCAAAACTTCGTTCAAAAAATCATCTCGTATTTCTCGCGATTATTGTCTCGCGCGCGAGTTCGATACTTTGAGAATCGCGATATCGCGCGCTTCGATATCGTTTGTTTCGACGGACGCGCGACGCGGAGTAAAACTTCGTTCAAATTATCTTGTGTTTCTCGCGATTGTTGTCTCGCGCGAAAAACTGTACGTTTGTTGCGTCGCGAAATGTCGGATGTATATAGTACAGTGACACATAATTTAGCGTCGCACACTTGCTACTTTAAATACAATGCGCGATTGTCTACCAAATTTTAGCAAGCAGCATTAGAACTCGTGCCAATCGTATAACTACGGAGCAGATAAGAGTGCAATCAGGTAAGTGCATCTCTTCAGATCATCATTTGCTGCTATTAAATAAAACAAAATTACTTAAATGTGTTTCGCGCTTCTACAGGTGTGTGAATATCACGGACGTCGATTCGTTTTATTTCGAGAATTAAAATGATCGATCTGTGAATTCAAAAAAGAGAATAGGAAGAGAACCGATGTATCGTTTTACGTATTAGAATAATTTATTTTAGAAAATAAAAAAAAATTAGCGGAAGATTAACAATTTATATTCGCAAAAAAATTAATCGCGATATACACGCGGTATATTTTTGATAACAAAATATTATATGTATTATATACATACTACAGAGTAATGTCACTGACCTCGGTCGCGCGGCCTTGGCGGGGTCATTGACCTCGGCCGCGCGGCCTTGGCGGGGTCACTGACCTCAGCCGCGCGGCCTTGGCGGGGTCACTGACCTCGGCCGCGCGGCCTTGGCGGGGTCACTGACCTCGGCCGCGCGGCCTTGGCGGGGTCATTGACCTCGGCCGCGCGACCGTGGTGGGGGGGAGGGGGTCNCGCGGCGGGGTCAATGACCTCGGTCGCGCGACTGCGGTGAAGTCATTGACCTCGGCCGTGCGGCCGCGGCGGTGTTACTGATTTCGGTCACGTGATTACGGTATATATATATATATATATATATACATATATGCGTATGTGTGTGTATTATACATAGATTATAGAATATTACATATAATATATATAATATTCTCTTTTTTACCTTTTTCCCTGTCACATGACTTTAGTCACGTGTTGTTTTTCCAGTTCTCTCTCTCAATATTTTTTGAGTTTGATTTTCATGCGTTATTTCTGACATTTCTCATATGTGTAGTATATGGTTTATAAGACGTATATACTATCTGTCATCGCGGTGACAGGTTGTGTTCACTGACAACACGTTAAATAAAAATAACAATAGCGTGCGCGTAGCGCGCGCCTGTGTTGTGCTAGTATGAAAAAAATCACAATAAATGATACAAATAACAGAAATGTTACCACGTAATATTGCAAAATAATATATATAAAAGTTATTCGCGAACGTAAGAATAATGCAAGCTTTGTTAACAATTTGTACGACGAGTTTTAAGATGTGCAATATAATAAATACGTAAATTGATATATTTCTAAATCAAATCGATATTTTCTAATTGACGGACTTATGGTTTGTTTTTGTGACGTGTAAATATCCCGAGGCGATTATTCATAATAATTCGAGACATGTTTATATATTTGTAACGGACGTAATTTGTTACAATATTAAATTCCTCTTCACAGATTTCGGCAATCTAAAGTCGATTTATATTCTTTCTTGTATATTTTCACGCAAAGTAAAGAATTATTCATCTTATCTTGATTAATCATTTATCTTGGTAGTGTTATACTCGAAATTATACATATATTATAATCTAAAAAGTAAAAACTATCAACAAACATAAAAAGACGGCAAATGCAAACGGCGTGTGGATTTATAAAAATATGTTTTATTTATGCAAATAATCTGATGTTGTTTTTTTAGATATTATTCGCGTTTTGTCAAGTTTTTATATTTTATTTCCGAGAAACTCAATATAGTAAATTGCGGACTCTCTTCTTTGAAAATGTTTGGATCTTGGTAAAATTTTAATTTCACGAATGTGTTGGTAAATAATTCTATTTTTTACGTCTTTTACGTCGCAAGAAAAAAGAAGTGTTACAAAGTAGGACAACGTGAAGGACTACCAGTAAACTACTTTCGAGAGGGACCGAGGGTCGCAAAAGGTAAATTGATAGGTGACGATGACATTGTATTTTAATCATAAAATCAAAATTAATTATTTATTTCTTTTAGCTATCACTTTCCTTACCTGTCGTTGGAAATTTTGTAATTTTACTACGGAACACGTACAATTTTCAAGATAAAAATCATAAATTTACTGTTTTTAAATAATTGTCTACGAGTTTTTATTACTTTTAATAACGGTAAATCTACATAAAAGAGATTCATGTACAGTTTATGAAGATACGCACGTACACTCGATATAGCTAAAAGGAACAACTTTTTATATTGCACGTGTGGTGTTAGCATATTGAATTCCGCTGATTTTTGACGACGCAAAATTTGAAGACAATCACGTATCGTGGCATGATTTTCTTTATTCGGTATCTTTATATGATTACGATTACGATAAACCTTCATTTTTATTTGTAATACTTTTGCTCATTTTTGTATATAATACTTTTGCGTGCTATCGTGAATTACTCTAAATAAATATAAGCGTTAACACATTTTTTTTAAGCATTCTGCATATGCATTTAATTGTATGTGTGTGTCTGTATATTATATACAGACACACACACACGTAAAATTTGAGTAATTTAATCTAAATTTAATGTTTTCGTAAATATTAATGTCATTTTTTCAAATATCTTTTTTTAAACTTTTTTAATTTTATTCTACACTAAAATTTATTTTCGATTCTTCATTAAAAGTTAACTTTATTACACTTAAGTTTGAACTTTGTTCTGTTTGTTCGTACTTTGTTCTGGTTTTACTTATTCACTTGATTTTAATAACTTGTGAAGTGGATTATATAAGTTAAGAAAAAATATTGTGTTCGCAAATACTGTGTTTGAAAAAGAATTCTTTGATTCTAAATTGGTATGTAAATATGTTTTTTTTTTCATAGATGTCATTAAAGTGTCATTCAAGTTATGTACAATCTATAAAGTTAACTGTATAAATTGTGAACTTGCACAATGTCTTATCTGTTTAATTTTTAAAAGAGAAGCACGCACCTCTCTTAGCGTTAATATACTTGCCAATTTGAAGTTAAACATCGTAAAAAACTGTCGAATGTACACTCATTTCGTGACAGAGAACGAAATAAGACCTCAATTATCGCTACCTTCAAACTGTTTAGCCAGTTTTTTAATCCGTTGCAAACAAGTTTGTGTTCTTAAGCACGATGATCACAAGAATGTTGTCGATGTTTTCCTTGATAATGATGACATCAAGGATAGTTCTCCATCGAGAAGTATTTCGAAGGTTGAAGAAGCCGTCGATGTATCATTGGATATCACGATCTCGGACAGTACACTTCGTCTCCGGTTACATCACGTTTTGTTCTATTGTATTTTATTTATGTTTCTCAGGCAATCTGTCAAACATCGTTATAGAACAAGTTTATCGACAAATAACACACACAATTTATCATAACAGTTTGTGTTATTTATTTAAAACTGCTGATTTCGCATCTTTGGGAGAACAATGTGCAATTGGCGGTATGTTTGTTGCGTTCTGCTGTTGTACCTGCTCGCGAGGGTGTCGGCTCAGAAAACCGCTCTTGATTCACCGTCTAATCTACAATTATATCGTGTTTTTCGGAATTGGATCTACGATGCTTTTGGTATGTACAATTAACGACGAAAATAATACACGCAATACGTATATACAACATTTGTTTTTAAACATATATATTTTATAATTACATTTGTATAAAAAAAATTAGGTGTTTTCTCATTCTTTCGTAGTCATACTCTTACGCACACTAGCTTCGTATACTCGACAGATAATTTTTTTTATTGAAGAGTTTGCAAAACCGTGTTAAAATTTATATTTATCTGAATAATATGTGTACTGGTTTTTTTTATTTTATAAATTATTTAAAGATTTAATTAAATGAAATAACGTGACGTGTGACAAACAATATCTATAATACACATGTTTATTATAACATATTATAAAATGTCAAAAAAGATCAATATCTAATTATCAGATTTTCACGTAGAGTAGAATTTTAAATATCGCAATTTTATAACACAATAATATTACAAATTAAATTATAATTGAAACATAATTAACCTGGCGAGAAGATCAATTTCAAACTTACGTGATAATATAAAAGCTTCAAATATATTTGCAATAACAAACGTTAGTTAAAGAATTTATTTTCTTACATTGTTATATATGTGCGTAAATACAAGAACTATGTAACTATATTATTTTTCATTAAATATATCAGATCTTACTTAAAGATAAATAGTATTGTCATTTAAAAAAAATCTGTACAAGGATACTCGTTTAACTCAGAGTCACACGTGTAACATAGATAACAGAAGATTTTCTTCGATAACAAGTTTGACATACTTTCCATTCTTCGCGGATTGTTTTTTTTTTCCCTAATAGTTTCCTTTTTTTAGATTGTTTGTCTTTCTTCATACCTACTTAATTGTGGTATAATTTACTACACACATCGAGTACATTTATTACTCACGTTGTGTTTCGGATTTGTTTGGTAAAATAAAAATTTTGAATTGTTTATATCAAATATATTTTTATTTGCGTATAATTACGAAGCTGTTAATTACGGACAATTAATAATGGAAAATGTATAATCGTGTGGAATTATATATAGATTGGGTATAATTTTATATATGATCATATGAGATTTTATATAAATCGGATGTGGTTTTATGTTATTGTGTAAAATCAAGTCCGAAATTTGGCTCCATCTGATCACTTGTATATAATATATTATATGTCATCATATGTTTCTATTTTTTCTCGGGGTGTTAATTTTTTTTCAAATTCTTACAGGTAGAACAGGCACAGAGGAAAGATTTTTAAAAATGTCAAGAGAAGCGAACAAAGTACAAAATTATATTCCTAACGACAACCCATTTCCTTGCAACGTGACAGGTAAACAAAGAAAAAATTATTATTACCTGAAATGAAATATAGTTTCAGTATCTAAGATAAATTAATGAAATCAGATCAATGAGATCAAAAACACGATTGTTTATGTGTCGATGAATTTATTAATTAATTGTAGAAGCTTACTTCAAACGTTTATTATCTTATTAACTCACATTATACTCATCTATCATAGTTCTTAAGTGGCATATTTTAATATTTTTTAATTTGTGTAATGTGAATTGTAATTATTGTCTGTATTTTCTAACTTTTCTCTATAATTATCACACATCAATTGTAACTTTTGCTGTTTCATTGTTGTTTATCTTTTAACGTTACTTATTTATTCATTTTAAACAATAAACAATATTCACAAATAAAACAAATTGTAGGCGGTCGATCATCCGAGGTGCCTGTTTCCGTTCATAAATTAAGACCGGGTGACATTGATGTTATTGCCGCGATGGGTGACTCGCTCACAGCTGGAGCTGGAATTTTTGCTGATAATGTTGTGCAAATTTTTATTGAAAACAGAGGAGTTTCTGCAACTGGCGGAGGTCAGGGAACATGGAGAGAATATTTAACGATTCCCAATATTCTCAAGGTAAGTAAGGCAATCAATTTTTAGGCAATCAAGTTTTAGTTCTATATATTGGCGCGCGTACGATAATGCGTGTATTATATAATGAAAAATAATAAATGTAGAATGAAACGTAATATTGACATTAGTGTGACTCATGCATTTCCAATCTGTGATCTTCTCGTCATTACATCATTAATCATATTCCTCATGTATTTTGTATCGCGTTACACTATTGTAAAAATTATATTGTATTCTTAATAAATTCAATATTATATTTTAAGGTCACGCAAACTGTGATCTGATAGCGCATATAATCATTTATTTCGATGCACAATGTTGTCATTGTTTTTGTAGATGTTGTTTTTTACTTAGTTTAATGTTTATTTCGTTTATTCATTTGCTAGTCATTACAGCAGCGTTTCAGTTAAAGTCTCGCCTTGGCAAAATGTGCTGAACTTTTTTTTTAAACACCTATCATACATCATGTCACATCTCTGTTAATTCTCGTCATACATGTCAGCTTTGCGCCATTAAAAAAAAAACTATTATTTTTGGTATTTTTATTTGCCAATGAGTTATCCGAGAATTTTCAATATATTAGGAATACAACCCGAATTTGATAGGATACGCGTTGAGCGACTCTTTGACGTCGCACGAAGCGTCGCAGTTAAATGTTGCTGAGACCGGCGCTATGTCCCAGGATATGCCGTACATGGCGCAAATATTAGTCAAAAGGATTCTAAGAGATCCAAGAATAGATGTGCAGAAACATTGGAAGGTTTGTTAGACGATTGATTAATTAATAAATTAACAGTATTCATGATTGAATATCGGTAAATATCGATTTTTACTGCAGTTCATCTCGCTAATGATCGGATCCAATGATTTTTGCCTCAACATGTGCGTGACTTCGCCGCCTACGTCGGTTCTCGAGAAACACAAAGACGATTTACTTAAGGTTCTGCGAATATTGCGAGACAATTTGCCGCGAACTTTTGTGGCGCTGATATCACCGCCGCATTTAAAGATCCTAGTCGCTACCCAACACGAGAAAACACCAAAGTATTGTTATATGACAACAGATATCGAATGCCCTTGCATGTTTGGCCTTCAGTATCGGCACATGAGACCGTTGTATTACGAAATCATAGAACAGTAAGAATAACATTGTAAGACGGTAATAATATATACATAAATTTTACGGAAATGTGTATTTTTCAGATGGCAAAAGTTAGAGATGGAAATTGCTACTTATCCCGAATTTCAAAAAGATGATTTTACAGTTGTGTTTCAGCCCATTTTGATGAACATAACTGTACCGTCTACATCAGAGGGATATTCCGATTTGACATATTTAAGCGCCGATTGTTTTCACATTAGTCAAAAGTCCAATGCTGCATGCAAGTTTATTCAATTAACTGCCTATATTTACTCTATGAAATAAATATATTTAATAAATGGAAAAATAAATATCAATTTTTAATAAATATTTTAATTTCTTGCAGATGCGATCGGTTTGTGGAATAATTTGTTCGAGCCAATAGGAGCCAAATCGTCAATTTTCTCAGATTCTATCGAACAGTTACGCTGTCCGCCAATGGAAAGGCCGTATCTGGCTACGACGTTAAATTGAAAAGAAACACCTATAGACCAAACTTTATTGTGTTTGAAAACATCAAGTTCTTGTTTTACGATCGCAGTGCCATTAATACTTGTAACATATTTTAAACATACAATAAACTTTACTACTTTAAACATAAGATATATTGTTTGATGTGTTTAGTAATTCTTTTTTTTATCATGCAAAACAATAAGAAGAGAAAAAGTAGTCTCAGGTACTGCTCAATAAATATCTTTGTAGAAAATAAAAATGTCATAATAATAAATTATTATGTATGTAGGTATTATAATCTCTTCCAGTAGTACATAGTAGTAAAGCTCTTGCCATAAGCGGCCGTTCCGTCCACATCCATATATGGTCTATAAGACATCATCAGCTTTTATGAGTGTCGCAATCTTGCGGCAAATTGCCTAAACAGTTTACACAGCAGAAAATAAAATTGAAACAGGCTGTCGGGTGTAAACTAAAAGATAAGTTATATCTGATATTTTTTACTTTCGATATTTTTACAAAAAGATAAAAAATAATACAATTATATAAAAAGCAAAACTGATTATCAATTACGTTAACTATTTTTTAACACATATTTCTCTTATAACGTAAAAAAATTATTGTACTTGTACATTTATAATTTTTAAAAATACATCTCTCTCACTTTCTCTCTTTCTCTCTCTCTTTTTGGAAAAGAATATTTTATTTGCCTATAAAAAAATGTAAAAATCATAATAAACTAAACAGAAGGATATTGCGGATGTTAGTACAAGGAGCGCGACGGTTTGTTTTAATACCAGTGTTAGTCACGTCACTTTTACTCACGTATCTTGTCTACTACCGCATAGGAATACGAAAGAATGCAGGGGAATCATGAATATGTTTATCTCAAAGTGGGGGGTTAACATCGATGGGCACCACGGGCACGTCTTTCTTCGACCTGTTTCATTCATGTTTAGTTGTGTCACTTGGTAATAGCGGTGTTCGGAGAGAACCTTTCTGAAAACGTCAAGTTTCCCGTGGAAGTTACATTCATATATCAGAAAACGCGCACATCTCAAACGTGTTAATTTATTCATAATTAAAGCTTAAAACTCGCGGTACATGTAATTTACAGTGTAAATCGACAATTAGTTGATAGTTTGTGAACAATGGTGGTCAGTCAGTGTGTAGTTGTATGAAGAAAAAGGAAAATATTAGGTTCAGTTTTATATAAGTATAGTTTTTACATATATAGAAAAAGAAGTAATTTAATTTAATTTAATTAGAGCGAGAAGAGTTATTGCTAGTTGTGGTCGCACACAGAGTTTAAATGTAGTTTTTTTCTATTTTAATGACACGAAAGAACAAATTATTTAAATATACGCGTCTGTGAATATTGCGAAAAATATTCAATTAAGAATTGATTATATCTTTTAATCGCATCTTTTAAATCTACTTCTTACATACGCGTCAAACGTTAAAGTTTTCTTTAATTTTCCGATTTATTTCAACGACGTGTCGTTGCTCTCCCGTTCTTTTGCAACAAATAGTGATAAATTGCATTTTCTAAACACGCGAAGAATGATTTATGAAAATGTGTGCCCAACGGGCACTGAAATCTATGAACTTAGACATCAGCGAAAGTGTGTCTCCTCGGTGTTTGTCTTGAAGAAGATTCCGTAAACCGTCACTTTCAGTGTTATTGTTGACTGTTATTTTTTTACGTTTCTAGCAAACACGATAATAAACATCGTCATTAATCGGTGCTTAGGGGAGAAATTAGAAATACATTGATTTAATAATCGCGTCAGATAAAAAAAATAATTTCTAAGCTGCGTATGATTGAAATTGATTTATAGTACAGAAAAAAGTTCTTTATACATTTGTAATTATATAATTCTAGATCTGGTTGTATAATTTTATATCTTGTTGTGTAATTAAATATGAGATGTCTCAATTTTGCATATTTTATTACGTGTATTACATAATTATAATTATAATAACTTATTGCTACATAATTTATATAACTAGACAGAGAATTGCGTCTGCGTGTTAAGAACTTTTCTCCGGATTGCCAAATTTTCTTATTGGTTTTAGAAAATGATTAATTTATATAAAAACAAAGTTGGGGAATATAGAAGCTTCTTTTTGTCTCGCTTCTTTCTCTCACTTGTGGATCAGATAGAAAGTTTTTTTTTCGTTACTCAGAGAATCAGTGCGATTATCCAAACAGTTCTCCGTGTTCGTCGTTAAACAAACGAAAATCTAGTTTTATCGAATCTGTTCTCTCGTTTTATGTACGTGCAAACAACAATTCTGTGTGTGTATGTAAATGTCAAAGTTTGCAGTTCTCTTCAGCCGAACACTCAGAAGACTCGTCGAAGACGGTCGCGAGGAGAGCGCGTCTCGATGGCGACCGGGAATCTCGTTCGATCGTGTCGAGGACCGAACAGGATCTTTCAACACAAAATGAGCAGCAGTTGACGCGCGCAGGAAAGTCCAAGGAAAACCCGAAAAGAACAGACTTTCTTCGGTCGCCAAACTCTCGAAACGCTCGCGAGAGTCATGAGAGTCGAGGCTACGACTTGCCTGCTTCTTCTGTTGGCCATCGCTGTTTTACATTCGGGAGAATGCGTATCCTTTACGGATTTCTTTCTCCATGTAATTCAAACAGGAAGAGTAAGTTTCCGGCATTGAAATCGCCTCTCGAGAGGTTTGACTATTTTTTGTTTTTAGCTCTAAATTCTCTAAAACTTCAATTCTGAAATGTGGATCTGACGCGTATTTTATTTGATTAAAAAAAAAAAATGTTTGAAAAATCCCGGCATCTTCTTTCAAGTGTCTGCTAAAATATGGTTCTGATTTTTATTTAACAAAAAAAAAAAAACCAGTTCTACATACGTAATTTATTTTCAATGATTTTTGAAAGATGCCGGACAAAGAAAAGATTCAGAATTGTGTAATTAAACTTTCGTGGCGAGAGGAAGGAAAAAATGCTAATGACATAATTTCTGTAACCGTGAGTCAGAGAGTGAGAGTTCACGTACCGATATTCATCGTTTGCAAATTTGATGAGGTTGACACGTACAGAGACATTGTTGCGAACAGACACTCCGTTACCGAGAACGCTTTAGCATGCAAGTGACTATTTTTTCCGCACGAGAAATCGCACGTGATTTGTAAATCAATTCGAACCGTACTTACGCGGAAGATCTTTGTAACTTCTCACATAGGATTCGCGAATCACGAACAAAAGAGAGTAGAACACAACGTGAATTTGTAATTGTCCGAAAAATACAGTTAACGTCGGCGAAACTGTATTTTGCGTAAAAATAATACGATATATCGTCGATATTGCGAAACATCGTATTGTTAATGCAATCTTTTTGATGTTGTTACAATTATCAAAAAATTGATAAAGAAGATGAATTGCGACGTGGGACGAGTCGAACATTACGTGAAAACTAAAGGTGACGCAATTCAAAAATGCTTTGCATTCCGAGCGATCGGAGAAAGGCCGGAAGGTTTCTTTTTGTCGGCCTTCTTTCGTCGCAGGAAAACCTTTTGTCCATGTCGAATATGTGTTTTGAAGATCATCTTAAATTAACGCTCCTACAAGTGTCTTACTATCTCATCTCTCTCTCATCTCATCCTTTCGATGTATTTTACGTTTTTATCTTTTCGATGTGTTACGCGAAATTTTACTTTTTTTTTGCACTCTTTACTTGCACTCTAAGAATATCTTATTAATATTTTATTAAAAAAATTAAACCGAACGATTTTTGGAAGTCAGTCAAACACGCATGTATTCACAATTCGCGTGTTGAGACGCGATATTGAGACGTTACTCGAATCTCTTTTGGAAGTTTAACGGACAGATTAGTTTTGTGCACTAGTATTTAAGTCGCCGCGCGCGCAGTGTGGAAATGCAAATTAAAGAAAGCGAGAATGTGTTTGACGTGTGTCGAATGGTAAAGCGCGCGTTAATCAGCCTAACTCTTAAATGTTCTGTTGGAAAAAGAGACAGGTGAAACGAATATTTATGCTATCATAAATCAATTCACAACGCGGTTCTTGCCATTTTGTCATCCAATTAATGCTGTTTATAAAATCAATTCTCTGGAACAAAAAAAAAAAGAATCCAACGGATCTCATCCGAATATCATTACCGTTCGCAAATGTGGCGATCCCGCTTCCTTATCCTGCAACTAACAAAGATTCGCACAACGCGCGCGTTACAGAACAGACCAGTTGCAAAAATTTACATTCGAGAATTGCGCAAACCGCAGATTGTGCGAGCACTCGATAAACTCATGCTTTAACGAAGATACGAATCTCACATAATGAAATATAGTGACCAGATAGACCTATTAGACCACGTTATAATATATTCGTTTAAATTAAAACTCGCGGTCGAAACTCGCTCGTAGGAACCACGCAGATTTCGTAATTATTAATTACGAAATCGTGAACGAGCAAGTTCGAAATTTTGTAACAAAGTTACGGAGACACGTTGTCGCGCAATATCCGTGAGATATTTATAAACACAACATTACGTATAATGTGTGTACAATATTTTCACTTTTAACTTTGTAAACTTCTAGAACATAATTGATGACAACGGAATTTCGTATCCCGCATTACACAGCGGCGTGCGGAGACAACGAATTATTCCGAACGACGTCCCGTTTCCATGCAACGCGCAATTCGGCAGGTAAAAATTTCACGCGATTGATGATATTCAGTGATATTTAATTGTTGTATCGCCATCTACGTTTGCGTAAGATATATACGATGCCATAAATATATTTAAATAAATATGTATAAATTTTTTTATTTGTGATATAATGACAATAAATTTTGCGATTTAATGTTAAATTTGATAAGAAAAAAGTGTGCTGGCAATCTACAATTTAAATCGATGAATTTCAGAAATATATAAATGGTTTTTTTTATAATCTTGTTATAGGTCTTTGTCGATACCAGATAGTGTCCATCGACTGAGACCGGGCGACATCGATGTGATCGGCGGTCTGGGTGATTCCCTGGTTGCCGGAAGCGGCGCGCTAGAGGAGTTCGCTGTGGGGACCTTCATCGAGGCACGGGGAGTGAGCTGGTGCGCTGGCGGACAGAACGACTGGAGGCGATTTCTCACTCTTCCCAATATTTTAAAAGTACGTCGTTAAGATCAGAAATATTTCGAAGCTATTGTAATGCGCCAGTCCTTTGTCGTTATTTTAAACATGAAATCATTTTTTTTTTTTATGTAATTATTTTAAACTTTAATTATTTTTATTACTTAAGTATTTTTACACGCGTTCACCAGATTTTGTCTTTATCGTCAAAAAATATCAACGATTTTGTGACATTCCGACAGATGTTCAATCCGAAATTAACCGGATATTCAACCGGGACGGGTGAGTTTATCTCGACCGCGGCGAAACTAAATATCGCTTATCCAGTCGCCGCTACGGAAGACGCGTTGCATCAAGCGAGGATCTTGGTGCAGAGGATCAAAAGCGACCCGACGATAAACGTGAGGAAACATTGGAAGGTAGAATAAAATCTGTTATATATTTTTTTTTACTTTTTTTCCTTTTTTTCTTGATGCGTTTTCTATGTTTCAGCTTATTACGATTCTGTTCGGAGCCAACGATATCTGCTCGGCTCAATGTTACGATCCCCAACATTTCTCGCCGATGCGTTACGCTTTGCACTTGCGAAGGGCGCTCGATTTCCTAAGGGTAGCGCTACCTCGCACTCTGGTCAATGTAGTTCCAGCTATAGGTGACGCTTTGATTAAGATTAAGTAATTTTTGTGTCAAAAAACGTGCTTTATTGCTGAGTCAATCTTTTCCATCACAAATTTGATGACGTTCTAGAGATTATATGTTTTTTGTTGATAATGTAATCTTCTCGAAAAGAGTTTTGTTCGTGTTTTACATATCTTTATTGCGTTTTGATAGATGTTACAGTTTCGGTTAGGGTGACGCGAAGTGTTATGTGCAATATACTGCATCCTCTTTACTGCGCTTGCATGCACAAGGGTGATAAACCGGAAATAGCCGCGTCCAAGATGTCACGGCTGTATCAGCAGGCTGCCGAAACTTTAGTGTATTCAGGAAGGTACACAGTTAACATAATAATAATAAATTCACCAACTTGTGACGTGCAAAAGTTTAATGAAGTTGTCGTTGATTTCTCTTTCTTTAGATATGATAATTCTCCAGATTTCACGGTGGTGTTGCAGCCGTTTACTAAGTTATTCAATGCACCTAATGCAGATCCTAGTCGTGCACCACCGATAGATTCCAGTCTGGTCACGTACGATTGTTTTCATTTCAGTCAAAAAGGACACGCTCTCGGTAAGAAACGTATTAAACTTTTGCCGTAATCTTTGATCAATTTTTTCTCTTAATAATTTTTATTTGATAGCGTCATTGAAAAGTAACAATTGGACGTGTGTTTTGTCAATTTTGTTAAAAGATATTTAAATTCCGCCTTTTATTATCGACCGAGTAGCGCCTAGTGAATGGCAGAACGAGCGACAGCTTGAGATGAAATATTGCGGCGCATATTACGGTTGTACTACTACTGTAGGGTAACATAAAAATCGATATAAAAATGTCAAATCTCTACACAAAGTTTATCGTATACGATGCAATTTATCTAATATCTTTAAGACAATTATTGTCATACATTTTTAAAAGTCATACATTAGTTTACCTGAAAATACTACAAACAGATTGGAAAGTGACTTTTTTTTATGTAAAATGTTTTCTCACTACGCCGATGATTATGCAAATTACATTCTCAGACAGTGAAGACTATGTATAAAAACTGTATAATATGAAAACGTTCACAAAGCGATTTTATATTGTGCGCAATATAAAATACTTAATCACGTCATAACATGCAACGAGTGTGTACATATTCGCGAACGTGCCGAAACCTCATCCTTTTGCTACGAAGTGACAATGACGACATCCACTTTTCGGTCGTTAATTCGCTATTATGTAACAATTAGAGCGTATTATTCGGACAAAGGTCGACCGATTACACGTCGCGCAGTTAAAAACCGAGTTAATCGACTGCCAAGAGGCGCGTCTTTATGAGCAATAAATTGAACATCAATCCTGCGCAGTTGGGTCGGCTGTAAACACGAGCGCTCTTTCATTAGCGGCATAAAAATGTGTCATTAAACGTCTCGCGCGGTGTTAATAAGAGTCATGGTAAAAGACGTCATGATCGACAATATTTCCGTCTTGTTATGTGAAGACAACAAAAACTAAGTTGATGTCAACAAACATGGCGTGATATTTCATTCGCTTGTTTTTCAATTTGTTTACAGGCGCTAATCTTCTGTGGAACAACATGCTGGAACCAGTCGGCAATAAGACGGAAAAGGGATTGCCCGGGATACTCGAGAAAGTGGTCTGTCCTACAGAAGACGCGCCTTACATCTTCACGAATGTCAATTCGCGATTCTTCCGTAAGACCGGGAGACAGGACGAAATTATACCGAGATAGAATAGAAAAATCGGGCCCGCGGCAATTTACGAAACCTTCTTTGGCTGTTCACTTCGGACCTATCTCAATATTTAACGGCTATTAATTAAAGTTGATTTTTTCTGTAAATATTTCTCGAATCTTTATTTTACATGTAAAAAATAATGTAATACAATGTATTTCAAAAATTTGTATTTGACAACGATCTCGCATTCTACTCAGCTGCAAAATTTAATTGTAACTGCAACGCGAACAGGAAAGATAATGAATTTGCAATAATTATTTCTAGATAAATTGCAAATGTTATTGACGTTGCAAGCGAGCAGAATTTTCAGAAAAGTTTTGAACGAACCAACATAGTTTTAAACGAAGAGCTATTTATGTGTGTTCGAATATAATTAAAAATATACGTGTGGTAAATGGTTTTATTGTATATAAATAACGAAAGAACTCTCTCTCTCTCTGTTTCTTACATGGGGTTTTTTTTCTAGAAAGTTTCTACCTCTGTAATAAATGCAAAGTTCACAATACAAAGTCCATCTATTTGTAATAATAATATATGTTAACTATATAAAGAAATTTGAGTTGTGAATATGCATGAGCGAGTCACTCTGAGTGACTCTGATTTGCATATGTATATTCCGGATGTTTCTAAATTTTTCCGTTATACTTTCTTTTCCTTCTTCGCACACACACACACACACTAGCAAATACAATTGTTAAAAAAAATTAATATAGGAATATGTTGTAAAATACACTATACTTGTACTTTTTAATAACTTTGCATAATTTTACACAATTTACAAATTAAATTAATGAACAATATATATACTTCCCTTTTAAAACATCGTAACTCTTTCGATTACTTCGCGAAAGTGATTGCTTACTTTCTCGTAGCTACTTTATTTTATTTTATCTTTTTTTCAGTTGAACGACCGAACGCTTGACTACTTGGCTGTGCAAGTTTCTTCAAGTTAATGTGCCGAAAACTTACGGAATCGAACATTATTTTTTGTTTCCGAGCGCGTCAAGTTTGCCGGCACTGAAACACAAAGTTCTAACGCGCGGTCAATTAAACATGTCTTCTAATCTATCCGAGTTGACCCTAATCGTGTTGAGGGAATCGTGACAATAAATTGCGCACGTCTCTTTTGCGCATGCGGCGATTGCGATCTTTTCTCACATGTATATCTCGCGGTTGCAAGGTTTTTCGCGAGATTATACTTGAATATATATTTACCCTTGAAAAATATAGGACATCGAGAGTGTGTGTGTGTGTGTGTGTGACTTTACCTGTTTAATGACGCAACGCGTCAATTCAGGAAACGAGAGATGCGCCAAGGTTCGAATTGTTTGCTCGCTCTTCAGAGAACTTGACCGTGAAACGGGGGATGCAGCGATTTCTCAGGCAAGCAAATAGTTATTACGCAATAAAATTTCTTACTAAACAGCCCGCAGCCATTCACCTGTGCGGGAATCACGATTATATGTCGCCGCTTGATGTCAATTTACAACTCGTCTCTGCACTTTCTTCGGTTCGAACAAACAATGTCGCTCTTATAAAATTGTGAGATTTGTTTTTCTCATACGAATACGCAAATTCTTTTTTGTGTTTTCTTTTAGAACGTACACAATTAGATTAAATTCTCACACTTGATCCCGAATGTAACCGTTATTATCTCTCGTTATCCTCCGCATAAACTAGTCACGTGGATGAGAGTTTTTGACGTGAAAGCGAAGATAATGACTAATAAAAATAAGAGCGTTACGCTCTGACCTAGTGATATTACGTTTCTGATATACGCTTCTGAATAATATCTAAATCACTCTCATAAATCGCTCATAAGAAAATCATGTATAATAATTATACAATTGATCACATGTGAATAGATAATTTAATACGAGCGATAAATTGAAAACAGAGTTGTTAAAACGCGTGCAAAGTTAATCGTTAAATTACAAAGTCAAATGTGCGCACAATTCTTGATTTGAATTATTCTCGATACAAAAAAATTATACAAAATTGTATAACACAGTTAAAGAAGAATGTTTCGGTTGTAAATGTTATCGCGCACATAATATCGTCAATAAAAATCGGAAACTATTGCAAAAAAAAAAAAAACATTCGTGAAGACGATTCTTCGAATCTAATCTGGATGAGTTGCTATTTCGCATGTGTGTACAGAAAAAACAAGTTTTATTCTATTTCCGGAATCGCGCAACGAAAGATTACACATAGACGGAAAAGAAATGTCTCTCAAACGCGAAAAAAAATTCTCAGACGCACTCATCTCGTCGAGAAGTAAAAAAACTCGCGCTGAAAATTATTCTTGTAAATACTTGAAAAGGATAACGGGAAATTGTTAGTGTTATAAAAAAAAAAAAATATCATCTCGCGCACACACGCGCGCAAGCGCGTTATAAAATCGCATATATTATAATTACGCATTAGCCAACTATAATCGTAACAAGCTTTTTTTTCATAATTCAATTCTTCCACATTTCACTTTTTTATTCGCACATTATCATATCATACAATATTGTTTTTAATACTATTCTCATATATCATATGACTTCGCTAAAAAACAGCGAGGAATGCAACTAAAGTTTGCACGTGTGCAAATAGATGACAACATTGCGAGATATTGTACGTTAGGCTTGTCGAGTATACATGTGTCTTCAAGTTATCCATATTTATTAATTATAAAATATCGCGTAATCACGAATCGCTGTAAGGCGAACCGTGAAATATGTTCGATGAAATGTAATTCTAATTACAATGAATACATTTGACGAGAGTAGCAATTGACGCTGTCAACACTTTGCAACGTTAATTGTTTTTCTAACAAGATGCTAATATTATTGAGCTAACCTAACACGTTTTCAACGCTGTTCGCATTGCGGCTAATAAATTTTGCAGCTGGATAGATTGCGATAATTTCCAGATTCAAATGTTTTTTAAATAAATTGCATTAAATGACAAAAAGACAAATATCGAGAATAAAAACTAATTTCTATTTTAATTAATTATATTGAAGTGGGTCCGACATGACTCAAATAGCAAATAAATAATAAGTTATTTCGCGTTATATAAACAAAGTCACGCGAGGTAAAAATTATAATATTGAAGGTAAAAATCAATTTTGATTTTATTTGTGATCATTGTCGTTGAGATGGACCTAAAAATGACCCGAACGGTTTGAAAAAGTCAAGCCATATTGTTGATCGTCGATTCCGTCGAGAAACGAGAAAAAGATCGACAGGAAAGATTTTACAATGAAATAAATTTTTCCGTTATTTCTAAAATTGTAACACTTGCTTAATGAATAATCAACGAGAAACGTTGACAAAATACGCGATCGTGCGTACACGTGCTTTGTAACAAGACAACGCGGAAAAATACGACTTGAATATCAACTTTGTTTTTAGCCTAATTTTAGCCATATTAGACGTGAGGCGAATACGCGGCTTAAAATTCATATCTGCAATCATTATGCATGCGAATATCATGCATTATTTATCGACGATTGTATATTATATTTCTATAAATATCTTGAGTTATAAATATCTACAGTCACTCTCTTGCAAATGGGATCTTTATATAATAATCCACATCTTTTGCAAAATAGAACGCTCTGCACGTAATCTCGATTCGCGAACTGATCGTTGATCACGCCAGACAGAAAATCAATTTTATGTAATTGTACGTCCTCGCGGAGGCAAAAACTTTTCATCACAAAAAAAATTATTAAAAATATTTAACATTTATCGTAGGTTATCGCAATTGACTCGATGTAACATATCGTTGACCGGTTCCGTTGAGCAACGTCATAGTTTTGTCTGTCTCAATTTTGACCTTCATCTGTGTCAACAATTTTTAAGAAATAAGAACGTAAATCAATTTTGTTTTTCGTTGCACTTGACCGATCGACGCGGAAATTGATTTAAGAAAATTAGTTGTTGCGCTTGCGGACGGCTTGTAAATTATAAAGCGGACATAAATATATGCAAATGCATATATTTATCTTTCCAATGTCCTTCGAGTCTGATCAAATTCCATTCAAAAGAATCGCTCCTCTTCTTTTTCTTTTTACCGCCGTTTTATCACAAGGTCGATCAGAACGTTTCTATGCGCGCGCGCGCACACACACACATACACACACACACACATGCTTCCGGATAGTCAAATTGCACTTTAAACTCGTGATAAAAAAAAAAATACGATCGTTTATATTCGAGAAACTCCCGATCTGCGGAAGTTGTAATATATAATACGGAAATAATCAAAGAAGTAGTTAAATAAAACATGAAAGTGATACACAATTTTTATAGACGTGAAAAAAGCAGATTAATAATATTTTGCTGAGATAAATGTTTCCGTCAAATTAGAAAGAAAATATTGCCGGCAAAATATTTGTAGACCGAATCTATAATCAGCGTCTCTTCAATAATTGACACCTATTAATTTTTTCTTGTGTCAACAGTTTTGTCTCATTTTTTATCTGACATTATAGTAAGATTGAAGTGGATTTTTTATGACAATATGATTTTTGAGTCCTCTGGTTGATATTCTTGAAAAAATTTGATAGATCTTTGAAGTGTCAATTACTGGAGGTTTTATCACATTGTTTTAAACTCAGTCGATAAGGAGCATATCACCGTTTGTATGCACATATTCGTGAATGTACTTGTATATATGTATATATATATATACAATCTATTTTAATCTACTCTCTCTAAAACTGTTTTGATCGTAAAAAAATGTTTCAAAGATAAAAGTTGTTGCTTTGACGGAGGACACGTGTTGTCGTTTTCAAGTAAGTTTAAATGTAACTAATTTCTTGATTTGAGATAAAAAGTTGTAGATCTTGTTTTTGAAACAAAATCGTCTTTTGTACCAAAGCCAGTTCCAGAAATACGAAGCTTCAGAGTTTACAAAATTAGCTCCACATATGACATTGTATGTGTTCTTCGAGCGACTTTTGTCCGAAGTATTTTTTTTTTCTATAATCAAAAATAAAAAAGTTTTTGAAGAGAAAAAAATTTAATTAAAATGGAACATTCCGTGTATATTTCGAAGTATCGTCGCGAAAAAAAATACAAATTGCAGACTTCTTTTTATCTGATTTACGTCAGGAATCAAATTCCGATAAACTTACCTGGCAAAGTTGTTAGTATGGATTTCTTGTTCTAGTTTTCAAACAATTATCCGTTATTGACTTTTAATATGTTGTAACAAAAAACTAGATTGTGCGGATGATTTTAACAGAGAGCCATTCTCTCTCTTACTCTCCTTCTCTCAACATGGAATTTTATCGTAAAGGACAAAAACGTTCGGAGTTATCTAGCGACGGTGAGAAAAACTCTTGGAGTAAATAAATATTTATGAAGTATTGAAAACTTTCCCGATACGCAACTGCTCATAGATTTATCAGTTATTCCCCTTTACGACGATAACCTCTAACGAACCGAAGTGTGTGTGTGCGTGCGTGTCGCAATATCCTTTTTTTCTTCCCGATAAAACACGTAAGAAGTTTTACTCGCGTTACACGCACGGTCTAATAACTGTAAATAATTAACTTATTAATATTATTTGATTTATTTGATATATATGATGTTGTTGCTTTTTATTATTTCCAGCGTGCCATCGATGTTAATTAAGAACATTATTTCTGTTAACATAAATTAACGAAGGGAAAGA